GTCTAGATTCCAAATATGTAAAAAAAATTATATGTTTATTCAGAGAAAGTACGTTTTTGTGTCTGATTTCGTAACTTAATTAATAGTTAGCACTAATTAATTAGCATATTTGAGGTCACCCCCAGGAACCATTAAGATTGACACTTAGTTCCTGAAAATCCGATCATTAGAATGAAAGTTATTCAGGGTGATATCTTTTTTTTTTTTTGCGGACTGTACATGTGCTGTTATATATGATTTTTTCACATAGATATATCGAAATAAAAGTAGAAAATAGTGCAGCCACTATTTTTTTCAAACAATTGAACTCGCTAAGATATTTACAGAGGTGATTGTGAGCCCAAGTCAAAATTCCGGAAAATTTCTTGAGTTACACATACCTATACCATTTACACATACCTATGATGACCTGGAGAAGTAATTAAAATTTACAAATATGTCTTTCTTTCTTGAGTTTATGATTATAATAACTATTTACTGATAAAAAAATAAATATTAATCAGGAATATAAGCTTATAAAGTATCTGTCTCTCCCTTACAAACAAATAAACTGTGTTTTTAAGTTCCACCTTTGAAAATTTGATTTCCGGAAATTATGTGAATAATAATTTTTTGAAAAGTCTGGACCTTTGATCTCCGGAAACTTCCGGATCACTGTTAGCGAAAAATCCGGAAAACCAGATTTTTTTTCCGGAGCACAATCAGCCCTGCATTTAGCAATTTCAAGTAACTGTTGATTTATCTTTAGAATTATATCCCTGATTTTTCCTAAATTTTGCCCTCCATATTCTGAAGATGTCAGCGCAATAAGTTTAACTTTCAAATAAACTTCTATGCACTCAAAAACTGACAAATCAAATAGGATCCTTAATAAGATAATTTTTCATTAAGTGCTTTAAAGAATACCTGAAGTTGGTGCACCTGCGAGCACCTTAGCAAGTTGGGAAATATTTGTATGCACTTACTAGTAAGAATATCATGGGAAAATATATCTAATTTTATAGTGAAGCCCTACCAATATTCAAAGCATTTAGTGTTTAGCCCTTTCGTTGCGATCTTAAGTTCAGTTAATTGATATGTTTAGTAACATCGCAAAACAGTCTGAAACACCAATTTGCATAAAGTTTTTTTAAATTGGTTAATTGGTTTTAAATTAGGAGAAAAGTAGCTTCTTTTCGTTTAAAAAAAAAAAACTTTAATGTTCATAAGATTTGCTTGAGAAATAGTGCATGATTCATACAACATGGTTACTTTCTGTTAGTACTTTACTAGAGGAAGAGAAAAGTGAATGAAAAGAAAATTTTGGATAGTTGAAGAAAAAAAAAAGAAACATTTCAAATAGAAAGTAAAGTTTTATGCTTCAACTTATAGGGCAGAAATATTTTCTTAACCTAATTTGATAAAAATTCTTGACCAAAGTGTAAAAAATATTTTAAAAAGTATATACATAATTTATTAATAACTTACTTCACAATAAGAACATTCTATATAATCATCCTTTTTAGTATTACAACATTCAGGATAAGGAAGATGAAGATCGGGTATACCAGTTAATCTTCTAACATTTTCTTCAGCAGTTTCAAGTGGTCTCATGCAATAATCACAGGCAAGGTACCCATAAGCTTGATTCCATAGAAACTGAGCACACACCAATGGCCTTTCTTCAAAAATGACATCACCAGGATTAAACTTGCGTAATGCAAACAGTCCTTTACCCTGAGAATTTCCAAATTATGAATGACATTTAACATATAATCACAATTAAAAATGAAAATTATTCTTAAATTTTCTAGCTCACTTTTATTCCTTAATTTAAATTAGGATAACAATATAAAGGGGAAAATATCTTTATGCAAATTGAGTGTCTGCTCATGGTACCCACTATTTCACATTTTGCTAAAAATAAACAGATTTATAGAATATTTGCTGCTACTTTAAAAAGTATCATTAACCTCAAAATTAATAAAAAAAATTTAAAATTCTGAAATTTTTACAAGGATAGAAATTAAGAATATATTACACTAATGCGTATAAAAGATAAATTAGATATAATGCGTATAAAAGATAATAAGACATATTACACTAACGCCAATAAAAGATTACACTAACACGTACCATACACTCTTTCTGTGGTGCGTTCAAGCACCTCTATTAGAGAACCAATAAAAGATTACACTAGCTCACACCACACACTTTCACAGGTCTGTTCAAGCACCTCTATCAGTTTTTCTTTTTAAAAATATTCAAAAAAATTATAAAACAAATAAATTTAACAATACGATTTTTTAATTTTTTTTTAAATTAATAAAAATTTCAATACAATTAAAACTACAATTATACAATTCAATTTTATCATCGTATTTCAATAAGTAGGTTACAAACAGGTCTTTTTTAAATAATTTTAATTTACAAATTTATAATAAGCGGATCATTATATTGAAAGTAAAAAAAGTTATTAAAGCAAAATTAGATTAAAAATTTACAGAGAGGATGTGAACTATTCAGAAATATGACAAACTAACCTATTTTGCAATAGACTTACCACAAAACCAAAAAATAAATCAGATAAATTCACTAAAAACTAAATTCATTTGAGATTGATGGTAATCAATGGCTGGTGGGTCAGTGTGACAATTATTTCATTATAGTCAGTCTGATTTTAGTGGTCCTAGATCATTGTTTCTCAACGGGGGCGTTGGGAGTATGCTAAGGGGCGGTGGACTTGTTTTAGGCGTTAGGGGGGCGTATGTTTTGGGCGGTAGGGGGGCGATGAGCATGTTTTTTCATTCAAATTTAATTATAATACTCCCAAATAAAAGTATTAAATTAAGAATCATTTAGTAAATAAAATTAATCTAAAATTAATGTTAAAGAAAAAAAGATTAAATTAATATAATAAATTAAGATTATCTGATACAACATTAGTACCAGCAGTAAAACGAACTTATGCAACACATATTCTCCGATCCGAATCAGCACAGTGCATGAGTCAGTAGTTTTTGCCTCTGACTCAATCAAGCCATTTGGTGAGAATTAAAGTGCATGCGCTTTTAGAAAAATGTTCGATTTGACCAGTGTTTCTTATGATGGTTTAGTTCGCTTCCTAGCAGTTTTTTACCCAGTTTCAATTCAATTTCATTGTTTATTTGGCCAGGTATGTTTGTGAATTAGTTCTTAATCGTAAATTATTTATTAATTTGAAAAAACAGTTGAATTTCTTTCATTCGTATTTTGCTGCCACCAACAATGTCAATTAACATAAATAAGTGTCTTCAATACACTGTCATGTACTTAAAGTTCAGATTTGTTCAATTGCTGTCGAACTCTCAACAACCCATGAATTTATTTTATAACAAAGATTAATATGATGAGACAATGGAGCTTTTCTGTTAGCAGAAGCATTTGCAAAATATTCATCCTCTCAAACAAAATAAAGATTTGTCATTTTTCACGAACAGAAACAAGTTTCTGAAGGCACCTTTGGCCTCAGGCTTACTAACAACCTCATCACAAAAATGCGATGATGGTTTGATAAGTTCTTATAATCTATCAAAATTAATTGCTAAATCTGGGAAAGGTCATACCATCGGCAAAGAATTGATACTGCCGGCTGTCAAGGAAATTTTAGGAACAGTTTTACACTATCCAGCCTCATCCGATTTAATCAAAAATATCCCTTGCAATAGAGGGTCGACATGGTGGGTTTTCCTCCGTTTTGAAGAGGGTGATACCAGATATTTTAGCAGTTCATTGCGAGATTCACAGACAGTATTTAATAAGAAAAAATCTCAGCGACCGTTTGCATCAGTCATTTCAATATGTCATATCATCTGCGAACAAAATTCGCAGCAATGTTCTCAACGATTGATTACTCAGACAGCTGTTTAAGAAAAACTAGAAGAATATCGCTTGCTACTACAAGTTTTCCAAAGGAGCCTGTCTCAATAGGTTTTTGAATCTTTTTGACTCTGTGCTCGAGTTCCTCAAAGACAGAATGTAGCTCTGAGAGATAGATTGCTAGAATTTAAGATAGACGTTGGTGGATTTATTCGCAAAATTTAATAGCGTTAATTTACAACTTCCAGGTGACAAACTCAATTTGATACCTACAAAATCAGTTATTTCTACATTTTTAAAAAAACTTATTTTGTGGAAGCAGAAATTTGGTAGGAATGAGTTCAACTAATTTCATATCTTATCGTATTTTGAAAAGAATGGCGAAATTTCCTCTGATGATACACAAGAATATAGTTAAAACCATTACTCTTTGCACATGGACTTACCGTTATAAATATGTTTTGTTCTGGAAGTCCTTCAATGGGTTATGAACCCTTTTTTGAATATTGAAACAGAAGAGGTTCAGATTCAGGAGGAATCGGTCAAACTCTCAACTGATGAAGCTTTGAGATGGTGATAGCTCACAGAATTTTGACTTCAAGGTAACATCAGTCGCCTCTACTCTGGACTGTCAAAATTCTTTTGTCAAAGTTCATTCTTATTGTCAAAATTATTTTTAATTTCCTTCCCTTTCTCCTACCCTCGTCGAACGTGGATTCAGTGCTGTTATGGATCTAGCCACAAAAAAGAGAAATAGTTTCGAAATCATGCAACGAGGGGACTTGCGTCTTCACCTCACTAAAAATATTGAACCGAACGTTAAGAAATTGGCGATGAACCATCAAGTACAATCATTTCACTCACATAGTAACTTGATTATTTTATTGATACTACTTTTATTTTGGGATGTTTTTTTAATTATCTAACTAAGAACAAGTGACTCTTTTTAAGCATAGTTTTCTTTGTTGCACTTTTTTTTCATTACCATATTTATTTTTGTTATGGCAAATAGACTGCGATTACCTGCAGGGAGAAAATTATCGAGTTAACATTCACTTTATTTTTTTTAAAGAAAGCAAACAAAATTTAATGCTTAAAAAATTGCCTAAAAATGTATCTCATAATTCAGCACACCCCCTCCGTCCCCATGCTCTAAATCAGGGGTCTCCAAACTACGGCCCGAGGGCTACATCCGGCCCGCGGAGAGCTAGCATACTTGAAAACTCCTTTTAGAGAACATATTTTTTATAGCAAATTAAATTTAGTTTACTGAAGTGTTCTAATTTTATGTTGAATAATTATTAATATGACATCTACATTGATATGGTCATGGGCTAACTACTCATAACATTGTTGTAGGCTTATTGTTATTGTTTTTGTGATAAGTTGGATAAAGAAACACAGAATTGTAATGAGTAAAGACATGTATAATATGCAGAAAATTTAACTTCAGTATATAATAACTAACAAATTATTGAAATGAATCCAACAAACATTTTATACATTTTAAATAAAAACATAACTTATAACAAGCATAATGACATATGAAATACTAATGAGATTTATGTAATTGAGATTTTCCACTGACAATAGTTTGTAGTTGTGGACTAATTTTACTTGTACCAATTTAAGATGCTCATCAGTTTTACTTGTACCAAAAGAGATTTAAGATCAGGGTTCGTGATTTTTTTGATTTTTTTAAAAAAAATCAAAAGAATCAGATTTTTTTGATTTAAATCGGATTTTTTTGATTTAAATCAGATTTTTTTGATTTTTATTCAAATACACTGTAAGAACTTTAATTTATGATTAAAAAAA